GCCTCCCGACTAGCTGGGACCACAGACGCCTGCCACAACGCCCGGCTATATTTTCTGGTTGCAGCCATCGTTGTTGTTTGGCGGGCCAGGGCTGGATTCAAACCCACCACCTTGGGTGTACGTGGCTGGCACCTTAGCTACTTGAGCCACAGGCACCGAGCCAAATTGTCAGTCTTAACAGATTCAGTCAGGGCTATTTGAGCAGCTGCAGAGGCTGTGATGGCTATAATCCCAAGAATTGCTGCTGTCATTAGACCAATAAATCTCTTCATCCTCGTCAAGTTCTGGGCCAGGTTGGCCAGGATGGAAATGGCTGGGGACTCCTCCCTTGGTCTCATCATCTTCACTGGGAGCCAAATTCCAGTTCTGGCCCGCAGCAAATAAATCCTACCTCAGGAAAAATCTAATCTCATAGATATATTAAAACAAGTAAACAGTTGACATTTACCTGGACAATGTATCTCACCAGTTTTTTCATTCCAAATGATATTTCCCACTAGCCACACAAATGGCAATTTAACACATGCCTGTGTGTAATGAGCCTCTCTCCATTTAAAATGGCGCATATGTTGGAGAGGTTGGCCTGATGACACAGACTTAAGTAAATGTGCACCCTTCTAGGTGTGCAACCCAAAAAGAGCAACTCCAATTTTCCATAAGTCTAGTTGAGGAGGATATCCAACAATTCCAGGGGTAGGTGGAGTAAATCCACTCTCATGCTATATTAATTCTTTAGAAGAAGTATATATGATATCTGTTGCGTAGAGGTTTCGCGAGGGACAGGCAGCTTTATCGCAGGTGCAAGCTTGCTCCTGAAACTGTTTAAAAAGCAAGACACAGACTATAAGCTCTGTCGTTTGAAAGTAGCAATCATCTTTATTTCAAAGGGTCTTTTACAGTCAGTAAGTCACGTACACCGCATCAATCAATAATCTGTAATTGACATTCCCTATTCTATCCTAACCTTAAAAGGAAACACTGAGTCTTGGAAACCGACTTAAAAACAACCATATTATTTCTTAAGCAACTACACATTCCAAATTTTATTTCCATAAAGTAAAAAAATCAACAGATGGAACAAGGGGGTAATCTATTTTACAAGCACTCAATTGTTGCATTGGGGTTTCACGAGAGGCAGACAGCATCGCCACAGGTGTAGCCTTGCATCTGGAATTATTATGATGAAAGAGATAGACTACTCCCCTCTGGTGGAAATAGCAAAGCTTTATTGTTCATGACCACCTTTTATAGTAGGCTGGTCACATACACTTTATTAATTAACAAGCAAAGCATTCATACTACTTCTCTAAAGTTAGTTCAACCTTCAAAAGATACAAAGTTTGAAACTTTGAGACAGCTGCAAAAGGGAGTATGTCTACAGACTAGAGACTACCAAGAGGGGAGTAAAACCTTGAAGTTATACTATGCACTCACTGTATTACAGAAAGCAGGTTTATGGCTTCTGTTTCTAGGCAACCTGGAGGCCTAAGATAAGCGAGTGCTTATCAACCCCTAGGCTGTGTCTCTGCAGAAAGGTTTTTAACCCCTTCTTTGCAGGCTTAACAGCCACATGGCCAGAGTCACTGGAGATGGGTTTTTATGCCCTAATCCCCAGGCCCTGTTCCATGCTGACCAGGGATACCGGCTCATCAACAAAGTTGCCTTCCACAGAAGTCTGTCCACCTGCTTCTGGAGCTTAAAGTGAGCATACAGTGTGTCGGGTTCTACTCCACAC